GCTTAGTAAATTTCAAAAAGAAAAAGTTTCTCTTAATTAAAGAAGTTGGATTATTTGATCTCAGTTTCTAAGTGCTGATTTCCAGATAAAAAATAATCGCCTTATTTTTCATTATATAATTTGATGTCTCTACCAGTGCAGAAGATTATTAATATTAGATTATATATAGCTCTTCAAACTTTTTTTCCGTTGTTATTTAATTTGCAGTTGTTGTTTCTTTTTTCTTCTTGTGTTGGAATCTCATCTACAAGAAAAGCATGTCCATAAGAAAATAGGGTTTGTCACGAGACAGGTTTCCAAATTTAACACTATTTAATTTTTAAATATCTTTATTGTTTGATTGGGACATTCAATAATATTTAAGAATGTTAGTATGTGAAAAAGGTGATGAACATTTAACCCCCCCCCCAAAAAAAAGGAAAAAAGTTGCTGAACAGAGGAGCATTGTACCAAAAAAACTGCATCATTAATAATACCTAGATTTGTATGATCTCTATAAGCAAAGGACAAGTTTTTACATTTTTTCTGAATAAATTTGCACAGCTTTTTTGTTTTTTTTTTGTTTTTTTGAAAAGATAAATCTGCACAGCTACTATATACATTAATAGGCAATATATATGTATGTGATTGGACGTAAAGAAAAATCTTCACAAACTCCAGCCTCATGGTCTCCATGTTTCAAATCCGAATAGAATAGATGCCAGGCATTAATTAAAGGACGCTAATTAAAAAATTACTGATAATTTAATTACTAAACAACAAAGTTTAATTTTTTTAATCGTAATTAGTATTTCATGTTCATCTTTTCTTTAATTGTGAGCTTTTACATTGAAGAAAGTCGTTTAAGGCGTGACGTTTCAAAGCAATAATAATCAACTATATCCTTTATTTATCGTCAAGCCAACAATTTTTTTTCTTTTAGTTTTTCTATTGTTTTTCTGAAGAAATACCAAGCAAAAAAAATTTGTTCGTGTCTATTCGTTTGGTGCTAGAATGATCATGAAGCTGTACTACTAATTGACAACATATAGAATAAACTTTAGCATCGTTATGTCGCTTAAAGTTACACTTATTTAATCTTATTTTATTTTATTTTTGCTCTGATTTCTTTTATTTATATCTCTATTTGAATTTGCCCATATTCCTTGTCTAACTATATACTTAATAGTAACAAAGCAATAGTACCATAGAGATAAGCTTCAAGTCATATTCTCAATTGACACACAAGAATATGGAAGACTTAATCTCGAATTTCGAAGACCCAAGGCGTCCAATAATCGATCACTTTATCTAGCTTGCAGCTTGACAATTGGATTTTCTATGAGAAAAACAACAAATTTGCATCAAGTTCGGCAACACTTAAATCATTACATAAGTCAATGGAGAATAACATGTGCTGCTGATGATTATTCTCCAAATAATTGTTCTTTTGCACAAGAAAATCGCACAATATTTCCGATGGGGCCCATCTCGCATAGTTAATATTCTTGCAAACTAATAAGAAGAGTTTTATTTTATACCACTACTCTTAATTATACATTGAATATATTATATACCACATACATCAGTTGTACTTGTGATATTAATTGTTCAAACGTCCTATTCTAATCTCCAAATTGTATAATGAAAATGCAAATATATAAAGTGCTGGTACGGTCCATTTGGATGGACAGTTTATCCAACAAAATATGAAAAATAAAAAGATGTAACATGATAAGCATTAAACATAAACTTGACTATATCACGCATCTCTAATACTAATATGGTTTGTTTCATGATTGTTATGTTATAATATTTTTCACTAAATGTTATGTTGGACGGACCATTCATCGGGATCGATCATAATGAAAACGTACGTATATGAATATCTATGTAAGGCAAGCATTGTACGTAAGCATCGCCTAGATAAATTCAGAATAATATATGCAGAAAATTGAAGAAAATTGCGATAGGAAAATGACAACAAGAGCGAGCAGGTCATGCAGGCGTATTGGATTGTTTTGTTGTGATGATTAATAAGCTGCACGCATGTGAATAAGTGGGTACGTGATGGTTTGTTTGTATGTAGACAACATTCTGGAGCAATAAGATTGACTTATATATAATGCAACACAATATCACTATTCAGACAGACAGACACACAAACACACACACACACATATATATATATATATTAGAAAAAATATTTTAGAATCGGAATTTTCATACACACACATATATATATTAGAAAAAATATTTTAGAATCGGAATTTTCATACTCCAATTAGTATATATGTATATATAATTTCCCAACACATTGCTTATAAGATAATTTTGATAAATACCCTTTAAAAATGCACAAATCATGATATTTACCCATTACTCTTGATTTATAACCTTTTTAATTAAATAATTACACTAACAAAATGATATTTATTAAGAGTAAGAGGTAAATGTCTAGATTCGTACAATTTTAAAGATAAATTCTCTATTTTTTTCTTGCTTATACTATTCCCCGGCGCAAGAAGCGGGGAGCAAAATAGCGTTATATATATATGGCTACATAAAACTCAAATACAATACCCATGCAAAACGTGATCACCCCTTTTATAAGCTAATTCATACTATATTGCCCTAACTAATAAGGAGTTGATTTTGCAAAAGTAAGCATAGTGTTAGTTTACCAATCCATCCCAAAAGCTTAAGCATAGTGTTAGTTTATCAATCCATTCTAAAAGCTTAAGCATAGTGTTAGTTTACCAATCCATCTCAAAAGCTTAAGCTTTTGGGATGGATTGGTAAACTAACACATAATATTAAAAAGTACGATTTCTCGACAGTTTCCACGTTAGACTAGAAAATCTCAAACTATTAATTATTGTATCGCGTAATTTCTTATATAAGATCAAAGACAGACTATTGCTGCCCAACAAAATTTGTGCAGTACGTACATATGTAATAATGTGATTATTCTTAGTAAATGAAGAGCTAGAGAGGATAATTAACTAACGACATAAATTATTAATTAGTACATCCGAATTAAGTTGACACCCACAGCAAACTTCTCCCACACAAAACCGTACGTCCACTCATCCTGTTAACAAATGTTAATAAATGTTAGAAAAGTCGCCTACTATATATAATTAGAAAACTGATACATAGCATTATAATGATGCTAAAATGTAGTTGAGTTGACAAAAACATGCACTTCATGTTGTCATAAATCTTACTCAAAAAATTAGAGTATAATGGAATAGTTGTAATTAGCCCGAATTCAAATCACAGTTTAGTATTACAGTGTTAAACATCAGTATTGCACATCAGTACGTAAAATTGGTCACAGATGATTGGATCACGGCGTATGAAAATGCATGCAACGCACGCTTTAGCTTCTATACATCCATTGAAGTTAACGTTAACTTATAATATGCGCGAAAAAATGTTAAATCACGCGGAGAAGAAAATTAAACTGCTAATAATTGTTATATATTAAGCGGGCTTCACGTGGAGAAACAGAAGGGCACCTTCAAAGAGAGTTAATTAGCAAACAATAGAGGTTAACATTAATTAAATAATCAATTAGGGAGGATGCTTACTATGAGGGTTAAAACCGCGAGAGAAGGGAATCTACACGTGAGGAGAGACAAAAGAAATGAGAAATGAAGACGAGGATGTGTGTTTGTGTGTGTGTGTGTGTGAGGTGGAAGAGAGGCATCGAAAGCTGCGACGGAAGCGTCAAAGGTTGTTTAGCTGTCAATCCCTCCAAAACTCTCTTCCCTCACGGGGTTTCTCTTCCCTCACGTATTCCCCTCTCTCTCTCTCTCTCTCTCTCTCTCTCTCTCTCTCTCTCTCTCTCTCTCTCTCTCTCTCTCTCTCTCTCTCTCTCTCTCTCTCTCTCTCTCTCATATTGCATTGTGTCATCTAATCATATGTTTTTACGGATATATCCTCACTCTTTTCTGTTTTTGTTCGATGACATAGAAGAAATGCAACAAAACTAGTACATGATATCGATATGCTCATAGCTAGAGTATTGGTGGTCGCTTATATACAAATATATGGTTGGAGTTGGAGATAAGTTCTACTGTTGAGATATTATATATGTTACTTCATTGCCTTTTTTTTCTTGGTCATGTATAGAGGTGAAAGGTCCGGAGCCCGGCTGACTTAAATAAAAATTCGTATGGGGTTAGGTCGACCTTAAAGATAAGAGGGTCGATGGAATTTTATAAGGTATTTTTATTTTTTTTAAAAAAGGGTGTCACCTGTTTAGTCTAACTCAAACTTGCAATCTAATTATATATACGTGTATATAAATAAATATGTAGGTAGGAATTGCCTATGACATCCCACCAGTCATGCACGCGTACATATGTACCTCTTTTAATATGCCCGTGTAATATTGTCCGTGCATGTGTGACTCAATTTGCTTCAATGTGACATTTAAAATATAGTTCAACGTATGTAAAATTGACTGTAACACGAAAATATGAAAAAAAAAAATTACACGTACGAAGGAATAATATGATATGTACATACGAAAAAAGTTACGTACTACGTGTGCCAATTCTAAGACTTTGTCTATATGTATGTAGTTTAGTTTAGGATATATAATTGTATTCTAAGTAGAATGAAATTGCAATATCTTCTTTATTTTAGACATTTAAATTAGAGTAAGTTGTACTTTCAAGGGGCTGCGGGTTTTGCTTGTGGCCACAAAGTTACCCGATTGATCACGTAAATATATAAAGCTCTACTAAATTAGTAACCAATAATAGATAGTTATATATATAATTACCTAAGTTTAAGGCATAAATATTATATGGAAATAATTGTGGCGGTAGCGCTGATCAACGCTAGAAAACAAGAAGTCTCATGTAGACCGGTTTCAGTCATGTTCATTTCCCCTAGCTGGCCCTCTTTAAAAGGGATATTCAGTTTCCCTATGCGAAACAGAAAGACTTAAAAGAGAGACAATAAGTGAAAAACAACATCTAGAGGCTGCTATTAGCTCTCTTTACTGGGAATTAAAGAAGCAATATGAGTTCTTCTAGAGACAGAAATATGCATGAGAGATTGCAACGGCTTCGAGCAATCACCAATTCCAGCGCTGTAATTACCTCCATATATAACACAGAAAATCTTAAAACATAAAATATATATGCTTCTTGAATGAAATTTCATTTTTTTTTTACTAACTTTTCACAGTTTTGATTCCGATTATTGACATTATTTGTTTAAATTTTTGTGTATTTTTGCAGATGAATAAAGCCTCAATTATTGTTGATGCTTCGAAATATATCAACGAGTTGAAGCAAAAGGTGTCAAGGTTGAACCAAGAGATTGGAACTTCTCAAACGCCAATCGACGAAAATCAATTGCCCGCGGTACGAATTAATAGATATGTATATATGTTGATATTGCCAGTTATTTCTCTTCTTCATTCAAAAAAAAAAAAAAAACAGAGAAATATTATATATATATATGTAACTGGTTAGAAATTACAATTACTATCGATCCTAGTCATGTATTGTTTAATTAATCCCTTTTGCTAGACCAAGTTAACTGATTCTCTTGTCAATTATTCTTATACTACTTCAGCAGGTTACGGTTGAAACACTAGAAAAGGGTTTCCTTATTAATGTGTTCTCTGATAAGAATAGCCCTGGTTTGCTCGTCTCTATTCTTGAAGCCTTTGAGAACCTGGGCCTTGATGTGCTCGACGCTAGGGTTTCTTGTACAGACAATTTCCAGCTAGAAGCAGTTGGAGAAGAAGTAAGAAAAACTTATATATGTCATTTTTATCCACCTGACCCTCTCTCTCTCTCTCTCTCTCTCTCTCTCTCTCTCTCTCTCTCTCTCTCTCTCTCTCTCTCTATCTCTCCCCTCTAGTATACAGGAGGCGATCTCTCTCTCTCTCTCTCTCTCTCTCTCTCTCTCTCTCTCTCTCTCTCCCTCCCTCCCTCCCATAAACCTGTAAGAGGGAATATGTTTAGTCATTATTGTCATGAGCACATATATGTACCACAAAAGTGGATATTTTTTCCAACCCCCCACTCCACACCCTCCACCTCCATTTATTATATATATATATTATAAATATATATATATATATATATATATATAGAGAGAGAGAGAGAGAATCAAAATGGTTTTTAAAATAGTTGAAAAGAAAAAACCTCACGTGTGACTGTAAGTTGCAGTGACATATTCTGAGTGATGATTAATAATGACCAGAAGTACTATAGTACTACTTCTCGGTTGGCATCAAAGTTGGCTTGTTCTTTTTCCTTTCTCTTGTAGTTGCATGGATAACTCTCAACTACTGCATGAGTTCAGTACTTTTTTAACGCAAGTATAGTACTTTATAGCTTTGCATTTATAATCCAATTCCCCTTTTGATTTTTTTGCATTTAATTTTTTGAGTAAACACTAATCATACAAAATTTTAGCACTAAAGGGACACGACAATAATCTTAATATTATTGCAGTAGCAGTAGTAACAAGAGCAAATTAAGAACTTGTATTTATTAATACGTGCTTTATCTGTATATATCTGATGCTTATGCAACAGAATTCGTTCTGACATATATATATATATAGATATATATGTATATATATAATTTGTTTTAATTCTTGATTTTGTAGAGTGACAATAGCATTGATGCACAAGTGGTGAAACAAGCTGTGTTGCAAGCAGTTAGAAACTGGAGTGAGCAAGATTAAATGAACCGGTCAATAATTTAGTTGGTTTTTGTAATTCCTTTCCTTCTTGCCCTATATTGTTTCACGTTTCATTATGTGATGTTGTTGTAACAAAATTTTCTTAATGAAGGAAGTTTTTTTTTTTTATCTCGTACTTAAAAGTACTCAAACCTTTAATTCGTTTTTGCCTATCGATCCCAATTTTTAACATATTAAAGCATTAGTGAACTGGACCCATGATATTTGGTTTGTTAAACGTACCGAAAGCTTGTAACATCAGTTTCCTACTACAAATTATAAATATTCTGGGTCAGCATGTTTATTGGAAGATCCTTTATTTTAATTATTATTTTTCTTAAGGAAGAAAGGGTTTAACTGATGACTGAAGAATGACGTAACTATATAGGTTGACACCCCCTTACTTATTCAAGTCAGGCAAATATTTGGTTTGTTAGACCGAAAGCTTATAACATCAGTTTCCTACTACGCTATAGCGCCTAGGCTCTGTCAAGTTAGACTGCAAAATCCCTTTTTAAGCGCTTTCACTCTCACTTTTCAATGCTAAGGGCCTGTTTTTTTAGAGTGTGACTTGAGTGTAGTTTTTGAATTAAATTTAAATTATAACTTGAGTTGAAGTTGTAACTTGAGTTTGTGTTTAGTTGTGTACATTTGAGTTATGGTTTGATATAAGAATCTTTTTTTAAGTTTGTGTTTGAGTGAGTTAAAATTTAAATTTGTATTTAGATAGTATTTTAATAAAAACTCAATAGTGATGAAAAATTTTAATAGGGTATATGGGTGGAATTTTATTCGTCTTTTCGCTGTCAACGCATAGAAAAGAAATCATCTCAATCAGGATTAAAACGAAAAAGTTATAGCATTTTTAAGAATAGAAAAAATACTATTCATTAATTTGAGTTCGAGTTTCTTAACTCGAGTTGAAGGGACACTTGAACTTGAGTTTTGGTCCCAAATTCGAGTTCAAACTTGAGTTCAAACTTAAAAGAACATGAACTTGAATAAAGTTGAAACTCGAGTTTTCTTTTTTTGAGTTTTTTAGGCAGCCGAACACACCCTAAGGGCCCGTTCACTTCGCCGATTACAATTTGTGATTTGAGTTGAGTGCATAGATTGAAGTTACAATTGAAATTGAAATTAAAACTGAAATCAAAGTTAGTGTTTAGGAGTGCACATGGTGATTCAAACCTTCCTCCCAATTCAAGTTATGAGTGTTCACTTCACCAATTTCACAATTCCAACCACCACCCCTATTATTCAAGTTGGAAAATGAAAAAAAAAAGAAAAAAAATTGAAAAACACAGAAATTAAAAAAAAAATGCATACTACCAATTCGTAATAATGTCTGTACAATGTTATACACAAAAATCTAAAATTACAGATAATTGAATTGGCAACTACAATCCAACATAACCTATTACAAAACAAATATTTCATACATGATAACTGATACGTGGCTATTTAGCGATTGTTATTTCCACCATGAGCCTCCCACATATTGCTCGCTATTTCATCCCTCATAAGACCCATCTCCCTTCGACTCACGGTGTTTCTTGGTCCTTCCGTACTCCGATCTGGGTTATGATTTTGATTGACATCCTCATCCGCGTTTAAGGGGTCAATTTCACTTACCGGTACCCCATCTTGTAAGTATTGATTTATGAAGCTGTCATCATGTTGATACATGCGTATGAAGTTATGTATCACAACACAAGCAATAGGTATTCTCGCTTGTTTTTACATTGGGTAATTGTTGATTATCTTTATAATGCGGAACCTCGCTTTTCACACCCTGAATGTCCGCTCGATACAATTCCTAAGTGATGAATGGGTGTAGTTAAATAACTCCTACTCACTTCAAGGTCAACTTCGACGTGCCCTATACTCTTACAAGTGGTACGTACAACCGCGATAAGGAGCTAGAAAACAACCTATGTTTGCATAACCGAAGTCTACTAAATAAAATTTTCCTACATGGTGGGAGCAAAAAATGTTTTAGCTGACTTGTAGCAACGTTTCCAACCCACATAGATTCAAACTCGAATTATTACCCATTTTAAGATTTGTGTGTACCTGCTGGAGGGACAGGGAATTTCTTTGATGGCGTTTCAAGTGCTGCATCAAGAACTCGTACGTCATGCGCGGAACCCTCCCACCCGGTAAGCATATACGTGAACTTCATGTCGAAGGAACACACTCCCAAAACATTTTGTGAGTTGAATCCCTTCCTATTTCTCCAGACCTCAGCATTTTCTGGCGGTGGTACACAGGGAATGTGCGTCTTGTCGAGCGCGCCAACGCAGTTCTGTGACAAATATAATGAACGTTATTATGAATCTCAAAATATTGCGTTAACATAATGTTTTTACGAACAAGAAAAAAATGGAGAGATATGCCTTACATCGAACCAAGGTCTGTACTTGCTCTCACTTGCCTCAATAAGTGGATTGATGCGGTTAAAGTCAGGTGGCGTAATAAAATCATGCCGCAGACGATATATGACATTCAACACTACCATGAAGTACTTTGAAATTGTAGCCCCCGAGTGTTGCCATTGATGTTGTGTCTCTGTATTACTTTCGCTTTGGCAAACAATTGTCAAGAAAATGATCAATTGCTTATCAACGCTCATATTTCTAGTACTCCTCAATAAATTCTTTTGTTCGAGAAACCAACTCAGTCTCCTAAAGTAATCGCTGCCCATCATAATCTTATTGTATATTACCATCTCGTGTCCATTTAACAAATCACTTAGACGCCGCGTACCTGTGTAGTGGCTATTATTCCTAGGAGTCAGCAGTAGCCGTTCCAAGTATGCCATATAGAATACCGCAGCAGCGGCTGCTCCAAGAATGTAGTCATCATCAGAGGCATATTTGGGTGGACCATTGTTTCCCGCGTTTAATGGTCCGCCACTCCACATTTTGTTTGCCACTACATTCACAATATACACACCAAAATTTGGTATATGGAATGAACAATGTTATATTACATAAAACTGTAATGGAAAAGTTTGGCATCAACGATAAAATGGAAGTTTTAAATCAAAGTCTACAATGTAACATGAAACACACTCACAAACTAAACACGATATCTAAAGTCGGTGTCAAATTGAAATGAAATAAAACCGTTCCATATAAGAAGCCAGACAGTACATAGAATGAAATGGAAAAAGAAATCACGCTTAAAAAATGAACACTCAACTTAAATCTCATCCCTTCGGGGTCCTCCAAAGGGGCTAGGTGGGGGTGGGAATTGGGGGTTCACGAAGAATGGTGGGAAATTTTAGAAGTTAGGAAGGGTTTGTTAGCCAGTAAGAGTAGGTTGTTGGAAGGATGGTTGTAGTGGGTTAAAATTAGAGGGTCCTTGGGGGGAAAAAGAGGCTGATGTTGTGCGTAGTTTTGGACCGGTGGTCAAAAATGTCCAGGCGAACCCATATATGGTGGAGCACAGTTCATATAATATGAAAATTGTTCCTGCACGCTGGGTCCTAGCTTATTTGGTATGGGTTTCAATATTCTTAATGCGTAAAATAACCTTTGACTCTCGTTCATGCCAAAGAACATCTCTTGACAATTAGGGTTCCAATTTATATACTCCATGAACAATACACTTTGTACATTGCCCAGTAACATCTTACTAATAACTGCCTGACACTTTTAGAAAGTTGTATGCTGGGATTCCACACGCTGAGAAGCACTTGAACTTGTACCTCGACTATTCTGTGGCTCATTCAGTGTAGTTGCAATACTTTTCAAAATAGATTTTACCTCGGGATCCACACCTCGTGCTCCACTTTTGCTATTGCGCTTCGATATATGTCGAGATGATGAGGCCATGTTCAGGGGACGAGTTGATGAGTTTAAAGCCCCTCTCATTGTGTTGACAAATGCTTCCTCACCCTCCAAAGGTTGCGAATTGCCGCCCTCAACTTCATGCTCCCCTACTAGTGGCTCAGACACATCACCTTCCTCATCATTCTCATCCAACCCCGCTTCAAATGCACTGCGGGCGCACCTACTAGCAAACGCTTCGTAGTAGAGCTCATAGTTCTTGAGGAGATCCTTACGTGCACGCTTCACCCACTTGTGTGTCTATTGAACACATAAAATGAATAAAGCAATCTCTAGTGGCCAAATACAAGTATAAAATGCAAAACACAAGATCATCATTGACAAGGACTAAGTCACAATTAATGGGCAAGAGATAGCCTGGCCCCCCTAAGGCTCTCTAGCCCAACTAAGGCCCCCAGCGCCAAAGGCCCAAGCGGCCCCCCAGCCCCTGCGGCC